TAACTGATCGATATGTCTCTCTCACATCGATGTTTCTCTCGGTCTCTCCCTCTCCCTTCCACTCTAAAGTCCATGGGAAAACATCCTCGGGCGAGGAGTAACAGATGTTTTTATCACAAAGTGTCGGTGAGAAAGGGAGACCCCATGAGTACTGTCAGCAAGGAGCAGCTGGGAAGGAAAGGAGGGAGGGCGGAGCGGGTCTGCAGGCCCCACGCTGCAGGTCCCGCCGGTCTGGAGGCCGTGACTCCCCACCTGGTGCTTTCCTTCGGTACTTCCTGTTCCCGAGAGACTTTCCTTTGACAACAGCCTTCAAAACCCCAGCACCCACAGGCACCCCACCCCGCTGAGTCACCTGCCCCCCCCCCCCCGAGGGCCATGCCCCAGGCCTCGTCTCACACTCTCCTGACCCCAGGGTCAGTCTCTCGGCATGGCCTCCTCCGATGGCCGCTCCTGCGTGGGCCCTGCAGCCGCTCCCCACGTCTCCTGCTGCCTCAGCATCTCCTCCCCCTGCTCTTCGCACCCCCCAAGCAGGGCGCCCCTTCGCTGTGTCCGCTTCTCTCAGAGAACCACTCCTTATGCCACCAGCACCTGTGAGCTGGCTCCTGTCCCTCCCTGGCGGCCACCTCCCACCCCCCGCCCCCCCGCCCTCCCACCAGCACTCAGGCCTCCTTGATGCGCCTGGAACCTGCTTGGCATGCCCCTGCCTCAGTTGTACCTGCTGCTCCTCTGCCTGGAACGTTCTACAGTCGCCGTCTCCATGGTGAGCTCTTTCTCTCACTGCCTCCAGGGCTTTCTCCTCCACTGCCACATTCTTTTAAAATGTTTGTATTGATGTCAGCGGGCAAGGGAGAGGGAGAGAGAGAAACATCAGTGATGAGAGAGAATCACTGATCGGCTGCCCCCTGCACGCCTCACACTGGGGATTTAACACAAAACCCAGGCCTGTGCCCTGACTGGGCATTGAACCCTGACCTCCTGGTTCATAGGTCAACCACTGAGCCACACGGCCGGGCTCCGCTGCCACATTCTTCACAGCGTGTGTGTGTGTGTGTGTGTGTGTGTGTGTTTTCCCCCCGGCCTCGCTCAGCTCGGCTCGGCCACGCTTCATCCCCCTCTCCCGGCTGCGTCGCCTCCCGGCTCTCCGTCAGGTTTGTTTGCTTTTGTCTGTCTCCCTGCACTGGAACATCCCTCCCCGAGGCAGGGGGTAGAGCGTTTAATGGTTTATTTTGTCGCCAAAGTGTAAGTGTCAGGAGCAGTGCCCGGCAGAGAAGAGGCCTCGTGGCTCTGGATGCCTGCTCCCGCTTTTCTCGGGACGTAAGGAGTGGGGAGGGATGCCCGATGCCGGACGCCACCTCTCACACCGCACCCTGGCCTGGCTGCCCCCGGGCGGGGCCCTGAGCCTGCAGGGACCGGCCTGTGCCCAGCCCAGCTGTGGGGTCCCTCCCGGCCTCTCTGTGCGTCCCTGCTTCCTCAGGGACAGAAATCATTTCGTTGCCCTCCCTACCCCCCACCTCCATGACAGGGCACAGCGACTCCGCAGCCTTCGGCCCTGCCTGCCAGGGCTCCCATCCTCCCCCTCCCACCTCCCCCGCTCTCTGCTCTCGGCTCCGGGCTGCGGGCTCCGTGCTCCATGCTCCGGGCTGCGGGCTGCGGGCTGCGGGCTGTGGGCTCCGGGTTCTGGGCTCCGGGCTCCGGGCTGTGGGCTCCGGGTTCTGGGCTCCGGGCTGAGGGCTCCGGGCTGTGGGCTCCGGGCTGTGGGCTCCGGGCTGCGGGCTGCGGGCTGCGGGCTGCGGGCTCCGGGCTCCGGGCTGCGGGCTGCGGGCTGCGGGCTCTGGGCTCCGGGCTCCGGGCTCCCAGCTCTGGGCTCCCGGCTCCGGGCTGCTGGCTGTGGGCTCTGGGCTGCAGGCTGCGGGCTGCGGGCTGCGGGCTCCGGGTTCTGGGCTCCGGGCTCCGGGCTCCGGGCTGTGGGCTCCGGGGTGTGGGCTCCGGGCTGCGGGCTGCGGGCTGCGGGCTCTGGGCTCCGGGCTCCGGGCTCCCAGCTCTGGGCTCCCGGCTCCGGGCTGCTGGCTGTGGGCTCTGGGCTGCAGGCTGCGGGCTGCGGGCTGTGGGCTCTGGGCTGCAGGCTGTGGGCTGCGGGCTGCGGGCTGTGGGCTGCGGGCTCCGGGCTGCGGGCTGTGGGCTCTGGGCTCCGGGCTGCGGGCTCCCAGCTCTGGGCTCCGGGCTCCGGGCTGCGGGCTGTGGGCTCCGGGCTGTGGGCTGTGGGCTGTGGGCTCCAGGCTCCGGGCTCCCAGCTCTGGGCTCCCGGCTCCGGGCTGCGGGCTGCAGGCTCCGGGCTCCGGGCTCCGGGCTCCGGGCTCCGGGCTCCCGGCTCCCGCAGCTCCATCGGGGAGTCTGTGGCCGCCCGGGCTCCGGTTTCCCTCAGGAACCAGGCCCCCCTTGGCGCCTTCCCGGTGGTTCCAGGGCTCGCTCCTGGCCAGGCTGTCCCCTCCCTCCAGGCTGCAGGCCGCTCTGGTGCTGTCTAAGCTGTGGACCTGCCCTTCGCTCTCAGGGGCATCGGAAACCGGAAGCAGAGGCCGCTGCGCCCCCTGCTGCCGCCTCCTCTGGGCTGAGCGGAGGCCGCTGGGCCTCCCTGGGAGGAGGCCCGGGGTGGCGGAGGGCTCGGCGGGCGTGGCTGCCCACAGGAAAGCCAGGACGCGTGGTGTGATCACAGAGGACAGCAGCAGCGCGGCCACTGGCCCTGTCCACACGCAGCCGCACGGGCCCTCCCCGCCCTGCCTGGCGCCTCCCTCAGCACCCCGCTCCTGGGGGACCCCTGGCGCCTCCCTCCGCACCCCGCTCCTGCGGGACCCCTGGCGCCTCCCTCCGCACCCCGCTCCTGGGGGACCCCTGGCGCCTCCCTCCGCACCCCGCTCCTGGGGGACCCCTGGCGCCTCCCTCCGCACCCCGCTCCTGGGGGGACCCCTAGCACCTCCTCAGCACCCGCCCTCCCTCAGCACCCCGCTCCTGGGGGACCCCTAGCACCTCCTCAGCACCCGCCTCCCTCAGCACCCCGCTCCTGGGGGACCCCTAGCACCTCCTCAGCACCCGCCCTCCCTCAGCACCCCGCTCCTGGGGGACCCCTAGCACCTCCTCAGCACCCGCCTCCCTCAGCACCCCGCTCCTGGGGGGACCCCTGGAGACTCCCTCAGCACCCGCCCTCCTGGCTGGACCCCTAGCACCTCCTCAGCACCCCGCTCCTGGGGGTGTTTCTCAGAAGAGTGTGGAAGTGCGGAGGGGAGGCTTTGCTGGGCCCGCACTTCACACAGGGGACTGAGCTTGTGTGTGTGTGTGTGTGTGTGTGTGTGTGGTGGTGGGGGGGGGGGCAGAGTCACACCCTCTGGGCTCTCCCAATACCCTGGAGCCCCCCATCAGGATCACCAGCTTGGGGTACGACGAACCCCCCGCCCCCACTCTGGCCTGTTGTCTGCGGGCGGGCTGACCTCTTCCTTCCCACCATCTGTCTCCCTGGGAGGCCACACCAGCTTCTCCACAGCCTCTCCCTCCTGCTTCTGCAAGCCCATCGCGTCTCCTGAGGGCTCCCTCTCCCTCTCTCTCTCCCTCTCCCTCCTTCCCTCTCCCTCTCCCTCCTTCCCTCTCCCTCTCCCTCCTTCCCTCTCCCTCTCCCTCCTTCCCTCTCCCTTTCCTCCTTCCCTCTCCCCTTTCCTCCTTCCCTCTCCCCTCTTCCTCCTTCCCTCTCCCCTTTCCTCCTTCCCTCTCCCTCCTTCCCTCCTTCCCTCTCCCTCTCCTCTCCCTCCTTCCCTCTCCCTCTCCCTCCTTCCCTCTCCCTCTCCCTCTCTCTCCTTCCCTCTCCCTCTCCTCTCCCTCCTTCCCTCTCCCTCCTTCCCTCCCTCTCTCGGTTTGGCTTTACCAATAACACACATTTACACACATTCAGCCCGAGCCCAGACCACAAGTGGGAAGAAGGATGAGTGTAAGCAGCACACAGCCATGGTTCTGCCCGCCCCGGGCACACGGAGGGCTTGGCGGGAGGAACCAGGACCTGCAGCCTCGGTTTGTGGCCCCAGGCTGCCGTCCTGACCAGAGGCCTCGGGCTGGTGAGCCCCGGACACCCCCCAAATCTCCCCCCCCCCCCAGCACTGCCTTCCCGGCGGGTGGTGCCTGGCCTTGGGCGATGCCCTGGCCTTGGGCAGGCCTCTCAGCTCCCAGCTGCTTCTATGCCGGGACACCGGCTCGGATATGTAAGCCAACGCTCAGAGCCAGGTGTCTGCCCAGCGGTGTGGCTCATGGACAGAGCGTCGGCCCTCGGACCGAAGGGTCCCGGGTTCGATTCCAGTCAAAGGCAACACTTGGGTTGCAGGTTGTCTGGCCCTGGTCAGGGCACATGCAGGAGGCAACCAACCCATGTGTCTCTCACATCAGTGTTTCTCTGTCTCCCTTCCTCTCTTCCACTCTCTCTTGGGGGGGAAATTATTAACACATATAAATAAATAAATAAAATAAATCAGGTATCTGACATTCACATTCTAGTATACTCAGCAAAACTATTAGCTCAGATCACAGTTTCCAGGGGACTGATTGGCTGGGGGCTGGGTGATGGCTGGGTGAGGTGTGAGGACGGGGTGGGTGCTGGGTGGGGGGGTGTGAGGGCTGGGTGGGGGCTGGGTGGGTGCTGGGTGGGGGCTAGGTGGGGGCTGGGTGTGGCTGGATGAGGGCTGGGGGCTGGGTGGGGGCTGGGGGCTGGGTAGAGGATGGGTGAGGGCTGGGGGCTGGGTGGGGGGTGGAGGATGGGTGAAGGCTGGGGGCTGGGTGGGGGGTGGAGGATGGGTGAGGGCTGGGGGCTGGGTGAAGGCTGGGTGAGGTATGAGGGCTGGGTGGGTGCTGGGTGGGGGGGTGTGAGGGCTGGGTGGGGCTGGGTGGGTGCTGGGTGAGGGCTGGGGGCTGGGTGAAGGCTGGGTGGGGGGGGTGTGAGGGCTGAGTGGGGGCTGGGTGGGGGGTGGAGGATGGGTGAGGGCTGGGGGCTGGTGAAGGCTGGGTGAGGTATGAGGGCTGGGTGGGTGCTGGGAGGGGGGGTGTGAGGGCTGGGTGGGGGCTGGGTGGGTGCTGGGTGGGTGCTGGGAGGTGGGTGTGAGGGCTGGGTGGGGGCTGGGTGGGGGGTGGAGGATGGGTGAGGACTGGGGGCTGGGTGAAGACTGGGTGAGGTATGAGGGCTGGGTGGGTGCTGGGTGGGTGCTGGGAGGGGGCTGGATGAGGTGGGTGGGAGCCTGGGCGCTGGGTGAGGTGCCGTGTCCCTGCAGGTGAGGATGCCGTCAGCACCCTGGGCCTGATCCTGGGCGTGGGGCTCTCGCTGCTGCTCATGTCCATCCTGGGCTACAGCCTGGCCAAGTGGTACCAGCGCGGGTACTGCTGGGAGGGTGAGTGCGCCCCCGCAGCAGCTGGGAGCGGGCGGGGCCATGCAAAGTGCTTCCTGTGGTGGCCACGGTGGTTGACGCCTGAGTGGGCGGCTGAGCCCTGGGTGGGGGAGGGAGCTGGGGTGTGGGGGCTCCTCTCCCCCAGGAGCAGCCCGCTCCCTCCCCTGCAGGGCCTCAGGGTGTGTCCCCCGTGCTTCCGCCGGAGCCTCCTGAGATGTGGTGTGACAGTCCCACCCGGGACATGCCCGCCTTCCCGCGGGCCCAGAGAGCGGGGGGCACGCGGGCTGCGGGAGGGAGAGAACACTCCCAGGTCCCACGAGTGTTTACTGAACACCTACTATGCGCCAGTGCACCTTCCCCAAGATGCTTTCTTTTAAAATTCCATGCAGGGACGACATTCTTGGTCTGTGGTTTATAGATGAGGATGTGAGGGCACAGACAGGACTGGAAAGTGGGGGGTCTGGACTGAAGCCAAGTCTGCTCTTTGGGGCTCCGAGCTAGGACTGTTTCCCTCCCTTCCCAGGGACCCCCAGTGGCAGATCTGCCCCCCAAAAGGTGAAAATTCAGTTTGCGAAGATGGGGCAGGGGGCAGGAGGCAGAAGCTGCAGGAACCTGCCCTCCTGAGGCCCAGAGCAGCCTTCACTGCCCCCCCCCTCCCACTGGGCAGGGTGAGGGGCCCATGCTCCCCCGGGCAGGGTGAGGATGAGGGGCACGGTGGCCCGAGGCGACAGGCACGGCCCCTGCGCACTGACCTCTCTCTGCGCTGTCTTCCTAGGGCCTAGCTTCGTCTTCAACTTGTACCAGATCCGGTGAGTAGACCAGGGCAGGTGGGTAGGGAGGGGAGGGGAAGGTGCTGGAGAAAGAACCTCAAGGGAGCCCAAACTTGCCGCCCCTTCTGCCCCCTCCCTGTGCCCCAGGCCTACAGGAGAAAGGAAGGAGCCAGGGTCCACTTAGAACATCCCGTGGCTAAGAACTTGAACATGGACAAGCCCATGCAGGAGCTGGTCACAGGGATCCTCTTAGCATCCCCCCCTCCGCCTGCCCCCCTTCTCCCCCACGCCCCCTCGTGCGGCCTGCCCCGCCGGCCCGGCCTCCCTCTGCAGGAGGCCTGCTGTGCCCGTGCAGGGTCCGAGGCCCCAGGCTCAGGCCTCTGTCTTCAGGTCTGAGCACAGCACAGCCTCAGGCAGCACGTGGTGCTGAAAGGGGGGAGCAGAGGAAGACATTCGGGGTTCAGGGGCAGGAGTCAGGGCGGGCCTCTGTCTGAGGGAGGGTGCCCCCCGGGGGAAGGGGTCGGCGGGGCACCGGGCACCGCGGGAGGCCCTCCCGGCTCCATCCGCTGGCTCCCCCTCAGGCACCTGAAGGAGCTGGAGATGGGCCCCCCCTTCACCATCAGCGGCCGCCTCCGAGGCCCGGACGACGGCCACCTGCACTTCTCCAGCCGGCTCGTCTGACCACAGCCCCGGCTGAGCTCCCGCGTGAGTGGGCGCTGGGGGAGCGCTGAGCGGGTTCGAGGTCCCAGCACGGCTCTCAGAAGTCCAGCACCCACACCGAGCACCGGACCTCAGAGACAGGGCTCGGCCAGGCTCTCCCCTCTCCCGCCCACTGAGCCACCCAGCCCCTGTCCTGCCCTTCTGTCCGAGGCGGTGCGATGTCTTTTTTACTTTGTTTTATTTTTTAAACACGTTTTTTGTTGATTTCAGAGAGGAAGGGAGAGGGGGCGAGAGAAATAGAAACATCAGTGAAAGAAAAACATGGATCAGCTGCCTCCTGCACGCCCCCTTCTGGGATTGAACCCACAACCGTGGGCATGCGGCCTGACCGGGGATCCAGCCAGCAGCCTCCTGGTCTCAGGCCAGCACTCAGCCAGCTGGGCCACCTGCTGGGCGTGAGGAGTATCTGTGTCTCATGGGATGGAAGCTTCCAGAACAGAGCTCTGTCTCCCCTTTGCGGAGGCGCAGGGTCCCAGGCGCCCTGTCCAGGAAGCAGCTTTCTAGCGCTTCCTCCGGGACTTCCCAAGCTCAGGAGCCTGGGCCCATTCGCGGGCAGCTGGCCCCTTGGTCCGGGGGCTCTGAGCCGGGCCTGGCCCCCATGTGGACAACAGCGCCTTCCCTGGGCACCGCCCGCCTTGGCCTGGGGTCCGGGAGAGCCAGGCCGGGGACAGAGTCCACAGGGCAGCAGTGGTTTCTTACAGGAACTACTGACCAGCCGCAGCGCCTCCAGATGGTTTTGGGGGAGTGCTGAGAGCAGTCCGGAACACGCTCCTGTCTTCAGGCTCCTGTCGGGGTGGGCGGGCGTGGGCAGAGCTGCCTCGGGGTTCTGCGTGCCCCGGGCAAGGCCGGCCCAGCGATGGGACTTAGTGAGGACATCCTGGGCCCTCCCCAGAGGAAGGCCTGTTCCCAGGGGGCCCTGTGCCTGCGGGAGGAGGCGGGGCAGCCAGGAGGCCACGCCCTCCCCTGCCCACACCCCTGCACACCCCAAGGGGAGCCCACCCCGGTGCCCCAATCACTGCCCTCTGCAAGCCGGCAACAGCAGCTGGAAACCCGTCCTGCCTCCACAGACAGTCAAGTGGATTGTAGGTGATCCCACACCCTGCCCACCGCCTGTACCTGCTCCCACACCCTGCCCACCGCCCGGGCCTGATCCCACACCCTGCCCACCGTCTGTACCTGCTCCCACACCCTGTCCACTGCCTGTACCTGCTCCCACACCCTGCCCACCGCCTGTACCTGCTCCCACACCCTGTCCACTGCCTGTACCTGCTCCCACACCCTGCCCACCGCCTGTACCTGCTCCCACACCCTGTCCACCGCCTGTACCTGCTCCCACACCCTGCCCACCGCCTGTACCTGCTCCCACACCCTGCCCACCGCCTGTACCTGCTCCCACATCCTGTCCACCGCCTGTACCTGCTCCCACACCCTGTCCACCACCTGTACCTGCTCCCACACCCTGCCCACTGCCTGTACCTGCTCCCACACCCTGCCCACCGCCTGTACCTGCTCCCACACCCTGCCCACCGCCTGTACCTGCTCCCACACCCTGTCCACCGCCTGTACCTGCTCCCACACCCTGCCCACCGCCTGTACCTGCTCCCACACCCAGCCCACCGTCTGTACCTGCTCCCACACCCAGCCCACCGCCTGTACCTGCTCCCACACCCTGTCCACCGCCCAGGCCTGCTCCCACACCCTGTCCACTGCCTGTACCTGCTCCCACACCCTGTCCACTGCCTGTACCTGCTCCCACACCCTGCCCACCACCTGTACCTGCTCCCACACCCTGCCCACCGCCAGGGACTGATCCCACACCATGCCCACTGCCTGTACCTGCTCCCACACCCTGTCTACTGCCTGTACCTGCTCCCACACCCTGCCCACCGTCTGTACCTGCTCCCTCACCCTGCCCACCTCCCAGGCCTGCTCCCACACCCTGCCCACCGCCTGTACCTGCTCCCACACCCTGTCCACTGCCTGTACCTGCTCCCAAACCCTGTCCACGGCCTGTACCTGCTCCCACACCCAGCCCACCGCCTGTACCTGCTCCCACACCCTGGCCACCGCCCAGGCCTGCTCCCACACCCTGTCCACCGCCTGTACCTGCTCCCACACCCTGCCCACCAACCGGGCCTGCTCTCACACCCTGCCCACCTCCCAGGCCTGCTCCCACACCCTGCCCACCGCCTGTACCTGCTCCCACACCCTGCCCACTGCCTGTACCTGCTCCCACACCCTGCCCACCGCCTGTACATGCTCCCACACCCTGCCCACCGTCTGTACCTGCTCCCACACCCTGCCCACCATCTGTACCTGCTCCCACACCCTGCCCACCACCTGTACCTGCTCCCAAACCCTGTCCACCGCCTGTACCCACTCCCACACCCTGCCCACCTCCTGTACCTGCTCCCACACCCTGTCCACTGCCTGTACCTGCTCCCACACCCTGCCCACCGCCTGTACCTGCTCCCACACCCTGCCCACCAACTGGGCCTGCTCCCACACCCTGCCCACCGTCTGTACCTGCTCCCACACCCTGCCCACCGCCTGTACCTGCTCCCACACCCTGTCCACTGCCTGTACCTGCTCCCACACCCTGTCCACCGCCTGTACCTGCTTCCACACCCTGCCCACCGCCTGTACCTGCTCCCACACCCTGTCTACCGCCTGTACCTGCTCCCACACCCTGCCCACCGCCTGTACCTGCTCCCACACCCTGCCCACCGCCTGTATCTGCTTTCCCTGCTACTGACCAGCCAGTTTTGGGGGGAGTGCTGAGAACAGCCCCGAACATGCTCCTGTCTTCAGGCTCCTGTCGGGGTGGGCGGGCGTGGGCAGAGCTGCCTCCTGGTTCTGCGTGCCCCGGGGCAAGGCCAGCCCGGCAGAAAGGGCGGGTGTGGGGAGAGGCCCCCAGCTAGACAAAGAAGCAGACAACGCAGGGAGATGGATGACCAGCAAGGCCAGGGGCAGCAGGACACTGGCCTGTGCGTCAGCCCCTCTCCCTGGGACCTGAGACTGAGCCTGCACGTAGTAGGCTCTTTCTCACTCTGAGTTGCTCAGTCAGGGGAGTGAGCTCCTGGGCAGAGGGGAGCAGTGCAGGCCGCCCTGATGAAGCCGCGGTCAGAACCTGCAGCCACGGCCTCACTGGCCACACCCAGGGAGAGGCCGGCACATGCAGGGCCCAGGACAGGGCGGTGTAGGAGGGAGGTCACGGCCTCTGTCCTCCTGCCCCCTCTGTCCTGAGGCCTGGCTTCCTTCTTGCACTGGTTTCCAGGAGATTGCGTGGGGAGGGGCCTTGCTTCCCAAGGAGGTCGTTCTCCCAGCAGCCAGGCTCCCCTGGCACAGGCCCTGCGCCCCGGCCCCACTCCCCCATCCCCGAGGAGGTGGGGGTGGGCAGAGCCCAGTCCCCCTTCCTCAAAGGCCAGGGAGGGGGAGGAGGGGAGATGGGCCGCTTTGCACCCTTTCTTGGATTTCCCCTCTGGGGCCTGGTCCCGCTCCTTCTCCCGGGTGCGGGCAGCGTGTCCAGCCTCAGTGAGCCCTCACCCCTGCTCCGCGGGATGGGCCTGTGTCCGCGCCAGGCAGCTGCTCCGGGCCCTGGGAGCGCTCAGGACGCAGTGGCCTGGGGACAGGCGGAGGGAGGGCACGGAGCCGGGTAAGGAGCGGGACAGCTGCCAGGGCCGGGGGAGCCGAGGGTATTTCCGGTCCTCAGGAGCAGAACCGAGACTCGCTGCTTCCTCTTTCAGGGCCTCCTGCTGCCGTCCCTCCCCCGCTCTCCCGGCTCCTCAGTCTGCTTCCTTCCCCGCGCCGGCCGCGGGCCCAGGCCCCGGAGGGCTGCTCACCCGCGGGGTTCTAGGAGCAGGCCCGGGAGCAGGCCCTGGTGTGGCTGGGCGGCACTGTCCAGGCGCTCGGACCCAGGGCCATGCCAGGGCTGCTTCAGAACCTCCTCTCCTAGCCGTGCCACGGCCCCAGAGCCAGGGGGAGCGGTGAGAGCCAGCAGTGCCGGGGCGGCTGTCTCCAGCCCCCTGTCACCTGTTCCCTTTAAAAAATATTCTTAATTGAGTTCTGAGAGGAAGGGAGAGAGAGAGAAACATCAGTGAGGAGAGAGAACCATGGATCGGCTGCCTCCTGCGTGCCCCACTCTAGGGATGGAGCCCACAACCCAGGCCTGTGCCCTGACCAGGAATCGAACTCGGACCCTCTAGTCCACAGGTCAATGCTCTATCCACTGAGCAGAGCCAGCTAGGGTTGATGAATTCTTTATAAACTCTGTCTATTAACCCCTTATCTGATGTATCATTGGCAAATATCTTCCTCTTTAGTGCCTTTACCAGGGGCTCTCCTGCCTGGAGGGCCTGCCCCCACCCCACCCCTGACGCTCGGGCCCCACCTTCCCGCGGCTGCCCAGGGACTCCAGACGGGACGCCGCGCACTCTGATCCTGGCCCAGGTCCACAGTCCCCCTGCACGGCCCCCACCAGGCCGCTGAGTAGAGAGGAGACATGGGCGGGAGGGCTGCAGAAGCTGCTTGGTCCCCAGGACGGTGCCCGGTGTCTGAGGACAGAGGCCAAGCACAGGCGCAGCCCGCGGAGCACGGCGTCCACTCCTGGCACCTGGGGTTGTTCTCGGCTCCGCCTTCCGCCGGGGGCACCGAGGATCAGAGAGGCAGCACAGCGGCCGCCGACAGAGCGGGGCTGGGAGGGTCTGAGGCGTAGCCTGGCCTCAGGGCTGTCGTCGGGGACTGAATCCTGTGGGGCAGGGTTTGGCCTTGACCTGCGCTGCCTGCTGTGTGGCCACGCACTGGTCACCTGGCCGCCCGCCGGGCCACCTCAGCATCGGCAGTGGGAGGGTGGGCCTCCGGGCGTCTCTCTCACCCGGAGGAGGACGAGGACGCGGAGCTTCATCGCCGCTCTGCATCTCTTCTCGCGCCGGGTCCCGGCGAGCAGTGGCAGCTCGGCGAACACAACGCCCGCTGAGCTCTGCCTCCCGAGGGCGCTGCCCGCCTCGCTCCTCCGGCCCGGTGGTCAGCTCCTGGGCGG